TTAAAAGCAATGCCAGTTAAAAGCCATGATAGGATTATTTTTATTATTTTATTTACGTGCCCGTATCACAGCCTCAGGAAGTCCTGATGTCACGTGCCCCAATGAGGGGATTATTTTTATCAAGACGGAGAAGGTTTCAAGTTATTCTTTAGTTCATTTGAGAAAAATAAGCAGGTAGCAGTAGCCAAGAAAAACTGGAAGATAAAAGAGAAATATTCAACTATGTTATATACTACCAGATATAAACGGAGTCATAAACCTACGACATTGTGGTAAATCTACCTAAGGTAAGACAATGCAGGGATACCAGGTCTCGGAATAACATCTGAGAGGCCAGAAACACAGCCCATTTGATGAAATGATTGAGTTCTACAACAAAGGAGACATATGGAATTAATAGGGAAAGAAAAAAAAAATTCAACAAAGAGAAAAAAGGACAGTTGATTATTTATTTGAATAAAAAATTCAATTAGATTTCTGTCACACACAATAGACCCAAACAAATTAAAGGTGGATTAGGGGCTAAATACACACATATACATGTATACACACACATACATACAGATATATATGCATATACATATATTCACACACATAAACACATATACATATATTTTTTAAGGAAAAAAACAGTAAAACTAAAACTTAGAGGTATACATATATAAACTATGATCTGGTTTCAAGATTATTAAAGGCTTTCTAAATAGCTTAAAGTAGAAATCACAACAGTAAAAGATAATCTGATTATAAATAAAAGAGAGGGAAAACCTCTTTATGTAAAGAAGACCATAAAATTTAAAAGGCAAATAATAAACTGGGGAAATACCTGCAAAATATATTCATATCCTAAATATACAAAGAGTTCTTAGATATCAATAAGAAAAAGACAGAACCTAGAGCAAAAATGGGCAAATATACACCTAAACAATTAATTACAATGTAAGAAACACGTACAGCTAATACATGTGAGCTGTTCAGCTTCACTACCTATTGAAGAAATCCAAATAAACAAAACATGAGGTGTTTTTATGGCTTATCAGATTAGCATAAATTCTAACAATAATATTAATAGCATTAGCAAGGGTGTCAGGTGAAATGGGTGACGGCTATGGATGGGAAGAGTTTTTATATAAAACCTTTTAGAAGTTAATTTGGAAATGTGTATCATGAACCCTGGAAATGGTTGTACCAACCGAATGAATCATTCCACATATGGACAGTAATTCCAAAGCAATAATAGGTGTTATCCACAAAGACTTAGGTTCATACATATATCAGGTCTATGTGAATGCAAATTACGGGAAGAGAAGGCGTAAAACGTTGATCTAATTCAATCACATTGAGATAAGAAAATGAATACAGAAATGAAAATACAAAGGAAGAAAACTCTGCAGTTCACCTCGAACTGAAACAAAACAAACGAGACTCAAGAGTGAAAAATATTCAATTTTTTGGCAAACAGCTCTCTAATACCTATTTTTAGCTAAAAGTCCATCTCTTAAATGTAGCCTCAATTTATTTCAGATTGAATTTGTTGTGTTGGAATTCCTCAGGTGAAAGGACATTTTGTGAATGATGGTTTTAGACATAAGAAACTCAATTTTCAAAGAGCATAAAAACTCAAATCCCCAAACGCTTTAATTTCTTAAGCAAGAAAGAATGTATCACTTTACAGATTCATGTTCATGTTTAGAGGAGGTGAATGCAAATTAAAATTTCCCAATATTTTAATGAAGCTGCTTCCTCTTACAGAGGTGCCTCCACCCATGGCTTATTCTCAGAACCCGAGAACGAAGCTGAGCAATCCACAGGGGGCTGCCATCTGAGGATCTATCTGTGCATTCTCGCTGCACACCAGCTGATGACTTCACCGGCATGCTTGGTCAGGGTGCCACTTCCCTTAGCACTGCTGTGGCCATCAGGCATTTTCTTCTTCCCAAAGTGGCACTGCCTTTGTGCTAAGGCCATACCCCCACTTCTGTAGCCCTAGTTGGAATCCAGAGAAGAGGGAAAGTCAGCCAGGCCCCTGTGTGGGATTAACCTGTCTGAGGGTTGCGGAGATGTCACACACTGAGGGCTGTGACCATGGAAAAGGGATTTCAATCACGTCACATCCCTCCCATTTGCCCAGCAGGGGGGCTCTTAAAGAGAATGAAACTGAGCAATGGGAAATGCCTTCCAAGGACACACAGCTCACTCCCTCAAAGAGAGAGGCCCATGCCACAGCCGATTCCATCAGCTATGGCACGGTTTAGAGGGCCTTTGTATTATCTACTTATAATCAAACATTAGAGTTTCCCTTAGGACAACAGTGGCATTTGGCTCCAAGGAACGTAAGTCTCAAGATGAGGAAGTTCGAAATCCTACTTTTACATAGTGAACGCTTCTTCACAGAATTGGTGCCCTTCCTTCATATCTGTGTGCCTGGCAAATTCCTATCCTTCATTCAAACTCAGCAGGTATCCCCTATTCCTTGAAGCCTGGCCCACCTCCTGGGGTGGAGCCGACCACAGCATCACTGTGTCTCCATGCCCTGCCCTTTACACAGCCCTGCTGGGGTCTGGGGCTTGGTGCGACCTCTGTCTACTTGTCTCTTTCCCCAACAACAGGGGAGATTCCTGAGGGCAGGACCTGTATCTCAGGCACACATTAGAAAGTCCACAAATGGCATGATTTAGCCATTCCACAATGTATATACATAATTCAAAACACCGTGTTACAAAGATAAATAACTTTTTATTTAAGTTTAATTAATTCTATTTAACATATTTTTATCACTTTAAAATTATAAAAACGAAACTCAATAAACACTTGTCGACTTAAATAACTAGATGACTAGATGTGATGTGATGGGTCAGAAGGGGAGGTGGAAATGGAAGAATTCTAGAGGTTAGGGACTCCATATCTATAGTTTGCACAATTTCTGGCACATAATAGGTGCTTGATATATATATATATTTTTTTGAGACAGAGTCTCACTCTGTCGTGCAGGCTGGAGTGCAGTGGCGTGATCTCACCTCACCGCAACCTTTGCCTCCTGGGTTTAAGCGATTCCCCTGCCTTAGCCTCCTGAGTAGCTGGGATTACAGGCACGCACCACCACGCCCAGCTAATTATTGTATTTTTAGTAGAGATGGGGTTTCACCATGATGGCCAGGCTGGTCTTGAACTCCTGACCTCAGGTGATTCACCCACCTCAGCCTCCCAAAGTGCTGGGGTTACAGGCGTGAGCCACCGCACCCGGCCTATAGATATTCTTTGAATAAATGAATGACTTTACGTAATGTGCTAATGCAATAAAGCCTTCAGCTTTTTCCTCACTACAGATTGTTTTCTCTTTCTTGTGCCCTTCTTTTCTCTCTTCCCACCCCATAGTTAGCACACCGCTCTAGTAAGAAAAACCTCACGCACGTCTTGGAAGAAAGGTCGGCAGGTCATAGAAGCCCCAGGAAAAATACTGTTCTCACTTTTCTGGGAGGCACTCAAGACTCCTTTAGCATAAAGCCAGTTTTTATTTTGATGAGAAACAACAGCTTGTGTTTGTATTCAGCTTTCCCAGCACTATCATGTTATATTCTCTGACATCGCCCCCCTGCAACACAGGCAGGCCAGGCAAGAGCACCCCAATGTGGTGGGAAGGAACCAGCTCAGGGACTGCCTAACACTGTGCGGTGGAGCCCAGGATGGAGGACCCAAATCTGAACTCCTCTGTACCATCCTGCTCTCTCCTACCAGTGTCGTTCATGCCACAGAACCAGGCCGTCAGCACCGTCCCTCCTTAAAAGCACTTAATGCTTCAGAAGAGGAAAGTGCAGCATTAAAGACCAGAAACTCTTGTAGGAGAGAAATCTGTTTTTTTTTTTTTTTTTTTTTTTTTTTTTTTTTTTTTGAGATGGAGTCCTGCTCTGTCACCCTGGATGGAGTGCAATGATGCAATCTTGGCTCACTGCAACCTCCGCCTCTTGGGTTCAAGTGATTCTCCTGCCTCAGCCTCCCAAGTAGCTGAGATTACAGGCACCTGCCACCACGTCTGGCTAATTTTTGTATTTTTAGTAGACATGGGGTTTCACCAGGTTGGCCAGGCTGGTCTCGAACTCCTGACCTCAGGCGATCCTCCCGCCTCAGTCTCTCAAAGTGCTGGGATTATAGGCGTGAGCCACTGCGCCTAGCCAGAAATCTGTTTTAAGAAGACAGGATGTAGGTGGGAGAGAAGAAAGTTCTGGACTTCCTACTGGAGAAAATGCAAAATTCTTGAAGGGATTTCCCTATGCTGAAGGAGCCTGACTGTGTGTGTGGGAGGACTCAAGAGCATCTTCACCTTATCTCTGATGAAAAGCAATGGGAAGGTTCATGACACAGGGCAATTATTTGCAAAAACGTAAATAAAATGAACAACGTCATTTTGGATGGCTTGCAACTGGGCACAGAAGCCAGGAATTTCTAAACACATCAACATTTGAGAAAATACTAGCTTTCTCTGATCCTGAATGAATAAAAAATCTCCTTTAAAAGAGAATACAGAGAACCAAAGTTGCATTAAAGAATGGCAGATAATTAAAATATAATAACACAAAATTTACATTTTATATAGGTCAAATGATTTCCTCTGAATCTTGTGTCCGAACGGTTTTTCCACTTTCATACATACAGTTACCGCAAATGAGTTAATCTTTGACATTTAACATTAATTCATGCTTTTCAGAAGGCCCTTAAATACCCAGTTCACATGTTAAACTTCACTTTCCACCACGTGGCCCCGCGAAAGGCCTAGATGCATGGTTTTTGCAGCTGTGATTCAAAGCACCATTTGCTTGCTGGCATTTGCGGAACTGAAAGTTTAAAGGAAATGATCAGCCACAGAAGTGATAAGGTTTCTAAACCTTAATCTGTAATGTGATAGTTACCGCCTCCACTTAACCTAAGAGCCCAACAATGTCCTCAAGCCTGGACCATCTGTTGCCGTTGAACTTGATTTCTTAGTGCGTTTGCTGTAAGCTTACCTGAATTGGGTGAGATGTGTAAACTGCTCATGTCCTTGGACAGGCCATTGGTTTTAGGGCTGGAGATGGGCGCGCAGGCCGACGTGGCTCGGGGTGGCCTCTTCCCTGGGACTTTCACAGTGGTTCTCAGAAGGTCAATCTCCTTACCATGAACATTCTGCATGTAATCCTGTTCAAAATGTTAAACATCCAAGAGAGATAAAAAAAAAAAAAAGACCTTTTACAACCTAGAACAAAAGGGTCTATCAGATGTCATGAGTTATAACCCTAAGACCCTTCCACTGTGGAAAGCACTTTAAAAATAATGAGATTTTTATCCGCAGAGTACTGGTAGCATCATCATTATATTTAAATCAGAGCTTTGCTTCTGTGTCCTGGAACTAACCCAGGAGCTAGAGATATAAGGAGAGACACAGCAGGTACCTCCTTCAAGGGGCATTAGGAAGTAAGTCTACACATAAAATCTGATTTTTTGAACTCTTGCTTATCAGAGGGTACATTAGGCTCCTCCCATAAATTCCAAATAAAATTCCATGGAGTAGGAAACCATGTTGTAATAACCTTTCTGTTTCAGATGGGAATGTCATTAAAATCTTGATAAGGCTGAAGCTGTCTGGTGAAAAATCAGGAGAAAACTGGAAGTAAAAAGGTCAAGTGTTTTGCTAAGAACCAGGAAGACATCCAAGGGGTGGGAGTTATGGCATCAAAAAAATAGGGAGCTCAGGGATGGATACAAAAAAGCTGGATGTTAGAAAAAGAATCTGGCTTTCTAGGCCTTAGAAGCACATGACCAGCAGCGATCAGGGAACTACCGGGACGCCTCAGTGGACAGTGACGGCTCTCTGGCAGCTCACTTAACTCACCGTGGAGTCAAACAGTACTTGGGAACTGGCTGAAGGGCAGGGAAGGGGGAAGGTGAACAAGCAACTGAGAGCCGGGGGATGGGCCTGCTGGCCAGTGAGTTACTGATCCTTTAGTGCATCATCATCATCATCATCATCACTCAGTGTTACTTATTTATTTTTTTTGGTAATGAGGCTCCTTGCCTGCAAACACAGTATCTTAAGCACTCTGGACACATATTACTCAATATCACACCTTAAGAAAGAATATATACTCAGCCCTCTGTAACAATATAACAATTAAAAAAATACAAAATAAGAAAATATTGCATTTACGTTGCATGAGGTATAAGTAATCTAGGGATGATCTGAGGTATACGGGAGAATGTGTGCAGGTTATATGTAAATACTATGCTGCATTATATAAGGAACTTGAGCATTTGAAGATCTTGGTATTCTGGAGGGTCCTGGAGTCAATCCCGCATGAATACAGAGAAATGATTGTATTTGGAAATCACCCTTGGAAAAACAACATTTCAAGTGTTTTAAGACTCTGCAGGAAGTGGGAATAAGTATGCTCTTTCTTTGGCAGCATCTTGGTGAATTCCCTTTAGATTTGAAAACCAATAAATTTGTCTTTGTTATAAGTAATTAAGTTCAGGTGAACATAATTCCATTTCATTTATTAATTTTTTTAGAGATGGGGTCTTGCTAGGTTGCCCAGGTTGGTGTCCAACTCCTAGTCTCAAGTCACCCTCCCAAAGCACTGGGGTTACAGGCATAAGCCACCGTGCTCAGCCAACGTAATTTTAGAAGAACTGCCTAATAAACTCACATGCTGGATGCAAGGGACTGTGGCAGGGTGGGGAAGTGGGCTGCTGTCTTTTAACTGCCCAACGGCAGTTACCTGATGCAGAGAGATAGTTGGATAAAGTTCTAGAATCATTATGCAAGGGTTGGAAGCCTCTGTCTCAAGGACTAGGAAACTTGGCCAAGTGTTTTGAGGGAGCTACTGGGACACAGGGTAGCAGAGAGGCCAAAGCGAGATCCCAGTGGCTTCCAGGAAACAGGCTGTCCACCTTTTTTTCTTTTTTGAGATAAGAGTCTCACTCTACTGCCCAGGCTGGAGTGCAGTGGCATGCTCTCAGCTCACTGCAACCTCTGCCTTCCAGATTCAAGTGATTCTCCTGCTTCAGTCCCCTGAGTAGCTGGGATTACAGGCGAGCAGTACACCTTTTAATTGCAGGACAACACCCACACTGGTGAAGGAGTCACAGGTTTATCAACAAGTAGATGTTTGCTGATAGAAGAAACAGCACAACAAAAGCCACGAAGTACACAATTCCAGTTCAGGGGAAAGGAATGAAACCGTGGGTCCTTGGGGCAGAGGATGAGAAGATCTGTTTTCTCCCTGCCCAACCATGGGAAGGTGGGTGAGCCTGGGGTGTGACAGTGCAGACCTCCCGCAACCGACGCAACTAAGAGGGTGCCACGTGGAGTCAAATCAGACTCAAGGGAAAAGGGTGCAGGAATTCTCAATGGCAGGATGGGCGGGAGGAGAACCTCTTACATGAGGGCACAGCCACACTGGCGGGGGACATTCTGGCAGAGAAATACAGAAATGCAGGTTCCCCTACACCAGCCCCAGAGGGACAAGATGCTTCAGGGTCCTTGGTGACCCCTGAGGACAGAAGTCTTGGTGCAGACAGAAAGCTCAAAACACCAAGGTCAGAACCAGGAGGAAGAACGATGGGCTGAAGACCACTGGAGAAAGGATCAGAAACTGCCACAGTGGGGCAAGTTCAGAGGCAGGGGCGAGGCCGGGCATCCCCGGCAGAGGACAGACAGGCCATCCAGGCGGAAAACCCTGGCACGCGTGCATCTCGCATCAGCCCAGAGGCCGGGAGCAGAGGTGCCCGGCCACCCGAGGCTGCTGACTGGCCATTTCATCTCACAGGGTGGCTCAGGGAGGATGGCCTGACTCAGGGCAGGCTGGCCGGAGTCAGCCACGGTCCCATTGGAGGAAAGCTGTCATGGTGGGTTGGGGGTATGGGAGGGTGGTATCTGGGCTGGGAACCACAAATCTGACTTCACCAGCCCCCGAAAGGAGATTCCACTTGGAAGCCGAGAAGCTGGACTCCACAAAACATAAACAACTTTGAGAGGATGTAGACCAAAGACAGAAAAAAGTTATTATTGAATTAACTCTGTTAAAGTAGATGGAAGGAAAGGTAGAGCCGGAAGAGAATTCTCAGGACTGTGCTGTGTTGAGGATGACAAATGAAAAGCATATCAGGCTGGGTGCGGTGGCTCACGCCTTGTAATCCCAGCACTTTGGGAGGCCGAGGAGGGTGGATCACTTGAGGTCAGGAGTTCAAGACCAGCCAACGTGGTGAAATGCCTTCACTACTAAAAATATAAAATTAGCCAGGCGTGGTGGCACGTGCCTGTAAGCCCAGCTACTTAGCAGGCTAAGGCAGGAGAATCGCTTGAACTTGGGAGACAGAGGTTGCAGTGAGCAGAGATCGTGCCATTGCACTCCAGCCTGAGCGACAAGAGCGAAACTCTGTCTTGAAAAGAAAAGAAAAGAAAAGAAAAGGCAAGGCAAGGCACACCATAGAGTGGTTAGTGTTGGTCATTTCTTAAAAAAGGTTTTTCTCAAGCATCTTTAGTTTACTTCCATTAATATCCACTGAAAATATGCAAACCCAACTTTCCAAACCAAAGTTAATGCTTGTAAATAATGAATTCCTTCTTGCACAGTTACTCCTTTAAAAATATCAACTTGCTATAACTTTCTTCCTTAATGCCAATTCTTAACAAATTAAAATACAATAACAGGAGTGTAATTGAGCATTTATTGCTTATGGGCTCTAAAATGAGGCTAATCAGATAGTGACTAAGCCTCAGCATGGGCTCTTTTAATAGGCATGTTTTAACATACAATAACCAGGATATTTTATTTAAAATTATTATAGAAACGAACCAAGTGTCTGCTCTCCAGATTCGAAAGCGGCAAGGGAACCCATTTATCTTAAGCTCAGCATGGGCGAAGGGATCTGTTTTCTTGCCTGAGTTAGGCATTACAACCTCAGAACTAGCTCTAAAAAAAATCGGTATATAAAATAGCCAATTCTTATATTTCAAGGCACTGTACAATTTTAAAAACTTTACAAAATGCATTTCCTAGTCAATAAAAGCCCTCCGACTCAGTGCTTCACACACAGGTGGGAGGTGAAGACACAGGTGTCTGTGGCTTCTAGTTCCTCTCAAGAGGAACGACATTGGTTTTGAAAGAACTGATCCTTTTCATCTCTCTCCCCAGCTTGGTACCTGAGGAATTAAAGCTACAATCACTAAACAATGTCCTCCTTAGAAGTCAAGGGGCTGTGCAGACCCTTCACAGGTCTGAGGCAGGGTACTGGGTAAAATTAAGACAGGAAGCTTGATTCTGATATGCAAATGTTACAGATACTATCCTTCTCCATGTTCCTTGTTGAAAATGCTGATCGAAGATAAAAGAGGAAAAACCCTTTAACAAGGCATGAGGGTAATTCAAAGCCAAGTACTTTTAAACAGCACTTAACAAGTCCCTGGGGCCCACTCAAGAGCCAGGCCCTCCAGAGGTGCCATCTCCTGCCCCTCAACAGCTTGAAAAAGTAGTAATTGCAAACCTATTTGCATTTTCCTTCTCAAGTTGTCCATGATCATCATGCGGCTTATTTTTTCCAAGCAGGCGCCAGAGCAAAGGGACCTGTTTCCGAACCCGCCAATCGCTTGGTAACTGTGCCTTGCTGTCCCCCTGCAACCCTGCTCCGGCACCTTTGCCATCCCTTGTTTTTTACATTTCGCTCCTAATTATGTTGCATCTATTGCCGTACACTTAATTAGCTGCATTAATGTGATTTCTTTTCACATAGTCAAGCAATTAAGAGCTATGATTGAGTTTCATTCAATTAGCCTCAACAAACATGCTAATTGATGTCCCAGATGCAAATGAGGTGCAATGAGAGAAACCTGCTAGCAATTGAGAGCCGTGTCAGAGACCCACAGCTTTCGGCTTGCTGACAGCAGCACAGCTTAACGTGGCGCCCGCCTTCTGTGGGGCTGCCTTTGGAGAAGGACGCAGAGTCATTAGTACCTCGGTGTACCAGATCCCTCCTGATACAGAGAATTAATTGATTCGCTGCTGTATCACGTTGTCCTAGAATTTCACAGTTATGTGTTCCCAGGACCGGGAGGTTACCAAATGAGTAACACTTGGCTCCAGTAAGGAGGGTGGTACAAAGTCCTCATCAAAATACCATATTAGGCTACTAAAAAATAT